GTTTTAGTTCCATACCATCTTCCACCATCATGGCAAGTGTCCATTGATGTGTTAGAATCATATTCAACCACATTCACACATCCGCACTAGCATTTTTCATATCTTCCATAATTAAATTAAATTTGCAGATCTGATGAACTAACCCAACCCTTCATAAAAGATCCTTTAAGTACCCAACCCTAAACCTAGTGTTGAAATTGCTCTGCACATGCCCAAGGCAAAATTGATGATAAGCGTGGGCTTATTCCACCTCGAATCAACTTGATTCACCGCTGAAATTATACTTTTATGCCAATCTAATAATAAACATGAACCTTGTCTATTCGACACAACATAATACTGGAGATGATATAAGAAACAACCCCATAGTCACGACTCTCCTCTCTATGATTGTAAATGCAAGAGGAAATATTTGTTTATGAGCATCAATTCATGTAGCAATTAGAAGCTTATGCTTATACTTGTCGTTTACAAAGTTTGCATCAATACTAATTACAAGTTGATAATGAACAGATATATCAATGGAACCTTTGAAAGCCCAAAATAATTTGCTAAATATTAGAGCTCTGACTCGTATATTGGGGATATTTTGTGGAATTTTGTCAATCGATTTTTCAAGTAATGCATATGGGAAATTAGGCATAATAGAGCTAGAGGGAGAAGCTGGGTTCCTTGTCGTCATCGAAGATCAACAACGGTCGATTGTTTTCATCGTCATCGAAGAAGAAGGAAGGTGAGAAGAGAGAGTGCGTAAATATTGAATTTGATTTGAGAATAAAGTGTTAGATTTTGATTTAAAAAGTGAAAGACTTCATTTACGGTGACGTTTTTAAAGACGTTTTGGTGTCTTTAATGAATGACAAATCAATTTTCATTAAAGTTTGACAAGTTCAGTTTCAGCCAAAAAATGACATTTTGAATAATGTTTTTAAAGACGTCATTTGGAATGACGCTTTTAACTCATTCAACATTTAAAAGTACATGAAAGTGTCATTTAAAATGACGTTTTCTAAAAGTAATTAAATTTAGAAAATATGTTTTTGAGGCTGTGAGAATAACATCCCCTTCACATTAAATGCACCCATGCATATGCATCTTAAAGCTTATGTCTGGGCATGAATGTGAACAGACCAAAACCACCCAAAAGAGAATCCTATTAAAAGAAAGGCACATAATGGTGTTGTATGCAGAGAGAGAGTGAGTTTTGCAGAGGAGAGAGATTGTAATTTAAAGGTTAAGGGGCGTCCCAGAAAGGGAAACCAAAGGAGGAGTTTGGTGGGAATGAATGAATGACGAATGTGATGTGTCGCTAAAGGTACAAGTAGGCCACCAATGCTCACCGAATCACAGTCGTACTCCTCAATTGCAATGTAACAACATTGGACCATACACATATTGCCTATTTTCAAAGATAAATTTAAAACACCAACACTTTCCAGCCGTTGAAGTAATTCCATATAAGGAAAGGCTCATCTTCAAAGTTTTTATAATCTCAACCCCAATGCCCATATACCTCAGTTGATTGATTTCTTCGTCGTTTTTTTCAATGGTTTATTAATTATTTGTCACTAACACTCGTTTAGAAAAACAAATAAAATCGAATCAAGTAAAATTTCACCTGAGTTATTGTTCAAACTTAAACTCAAGTTTAGATATATGTTGAAAACTAAACTCAATTCGTTCACATGCAGAAACACACATATATATTTTTGATTAATGACTTTTGAGCCAAATTGATATTGAACTAATTTTGAATATCTCGGCTTATTTGCAACCTACCGGTTGGTGACACACATTACAGTTCCTGTCTCTATTGTATAGGTGCATGGTGCACCATTGTGAAAAGAGAAAAATAAAGCAAAACAGAACAAAAAACACACAGAGATGGTCCATTTTTACCATTGTGACAGTGTTTTCGTGGATAACCCTATGCAAAGGAAAGAATATAGGAAGATGGTCCATTTTTTTTTTTGGTCAGGAGGAAGCTGGTGCTTCGTCCATATTGGGACAGTCGATTTGTTGCCTTTATGCTTTGAAGTATATCGTGAAGCAAGTGGATGTTTAAGGAGATAGAAGAGAGCACTATTGGACCACCTCAACTTGCCTGTTAACGATGGGAACCATAAAGAAGCTATAGGGTTAGGCTTACCCCTTTTTTTTTTTTTTATTTTGCTCACTTTTTTTTTCTTGATCAAGGGTAAGTTTTAGCACTATCTTACTAGAAAAAAAAAAAAAAGATAAAGTTTTAACACTATAATAAGATTATTTTATTGTAACCATTATTAAGGGTTGAGTTACAAAATAATCTTTCTCTATGCGAAATGAGATTATGTATATCTGATCTTCTTTAAATTTCACAATGATAGNATTATTTTATTGTAACCATTATTAAGGGTTGAGTTACAAAATAATCTTTCTCTATGCAAAATGAGATTATGTATATCTAATCTTCTTTAAATTTCACAATGATAAAAGTTTCATGCATTGAACTATCTTTTTTATCCTTTTTCTGAAGCAAATTTAATATGACCACGTAAGTTTATTATTTTATCAATTCATATAATATTTATATTTCAAAACAACATCCATGGGCTGAGAATTATTTCTCCGTAAACAACAAAAAATCAAAATTTTCGGTACTATAATCTTATTTAACGATGCAAACTGCCATTGTAAACCTTGATTTGTTAACCTATAATGGGTCAAAAAGAACAGGAAGAAAAACAAAAATAAATGGTAAGAATTAAAGGGTGTGTTGCTTTTTGCCTCTTAAATCTGCAAAAAAGGTCTCTCTAGACTCTGCAGAAAACAATATAATAGGAACTTTGGTGACAAACTGTTCATAAATATTTAAATGGGTGAAAGAGAAAAATAAACAAGTGGAGGACGCACACAACCTTTTATATAATTGGGGATGACGACCCAGATGATGAAATCAATCCTATTCTTTATTCATTGTCAGTCAAGTAGAATACACAAATGGGTTGGATATTCAATGCTAAATATCTGCTTTAGTTAATCTATTTCTTAATCTGTTTGCANGAAGAATCCTTATTTCTGGTTCTATTCACTACCCTAGAAGCACCCCTGAGGTATCAACGCCAATGTGGCTGTTTGTGTACCTCTCTCTCTCTCTCTCTCTCTCTCTCTCTCTCTCTCTCTCTCTCTCTCTCTCTCTCTCTCTCTCTCTCTCTCTCTGGTATTGTAATACCATAACCATACCAAAAATTAAATGTTTAAAAATAAAATTATAATTTTTTTAAGCGACTGGATTATAAATGTAAAAATGACCAAAAAAAAAAGATTATAAATGTAAAAGGTATAATTAATCACAACTTGTAAACATTACTATTCTTGAACGTCAAACTATAACTCATAAAAAAATATATGATTAATTAAAATAATTTAAATCAACTACGATGCTTTATGATTCGACCATAAAATTATGTCAAAAAAGTCTACAAATACTTTTAAAATATGTGATTAGACGTCCAAAAATAGTTGTATTCCTCTCTCTATATATATATTCTAATAATAATTTGTACTTGAAAATGCGATACAACATAAAATTTAAGAGTTTAGAAAATTAATCTCACTATATCAAATAATAATTTTTTTAATACCCTTTCTTTAATTACAAATTAATAAAATTTTCNAAAATTATAATTTTTTTAAGCGACTGGATTATAAATGTAAAAATGACCAAAAAAAAAGATTATAGATGTAAAAGGTATAATTAATCACAACTTGTAAACATTACTATTCTTGAACGTCAAACTATAACTCATAAAAAAAATATATGATTAATTAAAATAATTTAAATCAACTACGATGCTTTATGATTCGACCATAAAATTATGTCAAAGAAGTCTACAAATACTTTTAAAATATGTGATTAGACGTCCAAAAATAGTTGTATTCCTCTCTCTATATATATATTCTAATAAAAATTTGTACTTGAAAATGCGATACAACATAAAATTTAAGAGTTTAAAAAATTAATCTCACTATATCAAATAATAATTTTTTTAATACCCTTTCTTTAATTACAAATTAATAAAAATTTTTCAAAATACATGACTTCAAAAATATTAATATATATATTATTGAATATGAACAATGTTCAAAGTAAAAATTATATTGATTCATAAATTAATAAAAAATTAAATAATTTAACTTATAATAAAAATAATAATGTGATAAACATGAACCAAAAAAATATGTGAAATTAAAATCTAAATACCTAACTCTTTTATTATATATACAATAATCTATATATAATATTTGGATAGATAGATAGGCGTCCTTCAAGGGTTTAGGTTAAGTCCCTCTCGTCATTATAGCAACCTCTGACTGCTTTTGGTCATGAGAACTGATTCAAAGGACACCGACGATTGTGACAAATCATCACCATCCAACTTTCCAAAAAAAAAAAAAAACTCATCACCGTCCAGTTATATTTCCGAGAACAATCTCATTATTCTGGGTAACTGTGTTTCAGTCTCACTCCTCCTATTTAAATTGCAATCTAAGCAAACATTTGTACAAGTTTTCATGGTAAAGACATTATTTCTCGATTAGGTAACTCTGCAATTAGTTGCAGTAGTTGTTACGGCAAAAAGAATAGACAAAAAATAGAGTTAGGCACAAAAAAAATTAAGTAAAAAATGTTTAAAAAAAATCAACCACAACTATACAACCCTAATATAAGTATATACATATAATAGGTTAGCTGCATCATGAATAAGGCAGGGAGGCAAAACAAGAGAAGAAGATAGTTATGCAGGGTTAGACTTGTGTCCAAAAAATTAAAATTTTAAATATAGTACCATTTTTCATCCAGAAAATGACACAAAATTCTATAATCGTAATGTTTCAATGTATATTTTATTTTCTTATTTTAACATGACTACAAATAATTTAAATTAAAATTATATACTGTGTTAAAAAATTAACATTTTTTTAATAGAGTATATAATGTGTGTGAGAATAGATACGAGGTTTTAGATAACCCAGAATTATCTGCTGCTTGACATATCCCCGTTCCAATGACCAAAATTTCACAAAGAGATGGTTCCATTTGTTTTACTTTTTCCTTCCTTTCTGGTTCTAATTAAGAACCCCCTAGTTACATACTAATGGCTTGTCTCTCCGGCAAGCTTTTGAGAATTAAAAAGCTCAACTTTTTCACATGCCTTGACAAAAAGTGGAAATTTAGAATTAGAATGGTGGAGGGAACAGCAGAAAAATAAATTAAGAAGGGTCAGGAGGAGGGTCTCATTAAAGAGAGAAACCCATTTTTCTGCAGCCAATTCTGAGGTTGTCTTACTATCTGCTGTTGGAATCCTGATGATGCTGCAGCAGTTGCAAATAACTGAGGAGGACTGGATTGCCATTGTTGATGATCACTTGTGGAGACAAAAAGTTCTTCTCCATTGGCTCCTCCAATAATACCTCCATTTCTGCTGCTTGGAAACTGACTCTACAATGGTTTTGAAAATGAAATTTGAGCTTCAATGGTTTTGAAAAACATTAGTGTCGAATTGATGAAATCGGGTTTGATTATCGATACCATTTGATAATTTGCTGAGCTGACGGGTGGTGGAAACATGTGAAGCATTTGGGGTTCACCTGCCTTCATGAATTGTCCATATCTGTGCACTTCATTGGCCTTTACTGAGCCAGGAGATTGGAGGTGTGTTTGGCTCAGAAGCTGCAATGTTTCCTTCTCCATAAATCCATCTCTTCTGCTGCAGGCACCAATGCCATTTTGATTTTGTCCCTGCTGCATATTAGGGACATTAAAACATTAACCAACACCAAAAAGTTGGGATAAAAACTTTGTCGAGCTACATAATTTGATTCTAATCTTATATACTTTGGACCAAAATCCACGGTTTCGCCAGTCAACTTCAATTTGCATCGCTGTAGAATCCTGATCCATTGCACTGAGACTATCATCCCTCACTTCTCGACTACTTTTCTTTGAGGCCGAACTACCCAAACTCAAGTCGAGATTGTGGTCTGATGCTGCATTCCCAGAACATTCTGACCAAAATAAAGATTAATTTCATGCTATTAGAAATTTAATGTTCAAGAAGAATATTAACCAATCTAATTTTACTTCTACACAGGAAGTTAAAAACAGCAACCGCAACAGAAAAAGTAGAATTAACTTTTTCCGATATTTGCTTAAGTTGTTAGAGAGGATGTCATATAAGAATTAATCTAATACTTACCAGAGTTGAGTTCATTTTCATAAATGCTGGGATCAAAGTTAGTAACAGCCTCCTTGCCATTACACTTAATAGCAGCTTTGTCATAAGCCCTACACAGAATTACCAGCAAAATTTTATTTTAAGCCTCCATATTACATTACTTTAATGTAATCCAGTCTAAGTGCAAATTAAACATACCTTGCAGCCTCAATTTCAGTATCAAAGAGACCCAAATACACATACCTGTTTACACCAAAATCAAACATTAACCCTCACAATGAGCTTAAGGAAAGACAAGACTAGACATACACAAAAAGCCAAAATGGTAAACCAAGACTAGCTATGGTTCTTGATAAATGGATTAAAAAAGAATAGCATATAAAGATGAAAACTCTTACTTTTTGCCTAAGAACTGGCCCATTCTTGCTTCCCATCTCCCACATTTGTGCAATGTTACACCTCTATACTTGGAGCTTCCTCTTGGAAACCCAGTACTTTGTCTCCGAAGTACATGAACAAATTCTTCTTTGGTAAGATTAGTCATCTGTCACAAAAAAAATAAATAAATGTTTCTCTGTGAGAATATTATGCTTTCCTTTGTGTGCAACACAAAAGCAAATCTAAAAACAAACTCTATAAGATTAGGCTGCACTGTAGAAGATAAGATCAAACTAAATGAGACTGAAGAGCTCTCTCTCTCTCTCTCTCTACCTGTTTCAAGTCGTCCTGGTAATCTTCTAGAGAAAAATTTATGTCTGCCTCCACTCCCCGGAACTTGATGGCTGCTCTATCATATGCACTGAAAAGGGAAAAAAACAACAAAAATCAATCTCCCATTTTTCAAAGAACTTTTTCATATGTTAGATAACAGAAGAACACAAAAACTAATAAGCAAAGTAAAAACGAAGGAGCTGACCGTGCAGCCGCATGGGCAGTGTCAAATCCACCTATACCACATTTTCAAGAACAAACCCATCTTAACAAGATCAGAATAAATACATGAAGAAAAAATAGTTAGAAAACACTTTTAACTTTTCTTCCCAATTAGACCCAAAGAAAGAACACATTTTTCCACCAGAAAACTAGCCAAAAAAAAAGAGAAAACATACCCAGATAAACTTGTTTTCCACAATCCCTGAAACAGCAAGTGTAAGATGAATTCTAAATGCACGAATCAAAACAAAAAAATTTTGACGGAAAAAACAAAAGAAAGATATATACATAGACTAGAAGAAACAGAAGACTAACCATATATGTGACTCCCACCGGCCGGTCCTCCGGTAAAAAGTAACACCACGATACTGTGAACTTCTAGACCTAGGGCCACGGCGGCTCTTCTTTAGTGGCTGTGGACCCTCCATAGACCTACCGACAGCGCCGCCCTGAGGCTCCGACTGGCAAAATTTAACACCAACCCAATGAGCTCTAGGAAAAGTAGTAGACGACCCACCACCGCCGCCGCCGCAGTAGCCACCCGATGTAGTCCCCACTTCTGACTCATCCACAGGGAAAAACTGCCGAGTCACCGGCGGCTCACTCTCCGTTGAGCAGTTTTCGTTCACCGAGAACCCAAATATCATACTGCTACGTTTTCTTGTTCCTCTTTCTCCGTCTTCTTCCTCTTCTGAACCGTCTTCAATTACCACCGCGGATGAGCTCGAATTCGATACAGATCCTACTTGTTTACCTTTGTCGTCGTCGCCGTCGACCGGTGACGAACAGCCTTCGGATTCATCGTCTCTTCTCTGATCAGGCCAATCGTTTAGATCCCACATTTCTCTGCTCCTTTGATCTATAAAAACCCAAAAAACTGCAATTTCCAAGACTTAGATTGGTGATCACCACTCTCCCTTCAGAACCAAAATTTGGAAGATATTTTTGGTATAATCTCTCCCTCTCCCTCTCTCAGTATAAGATAGATATGAAAGAAAGTAGGGTAAAGAAAATATGTAAACTGTACGTAGATTCTTGAAAGAACATACAAACCTAGGACTTCTAGAGGCTGTGTAGTTGTTGGGTAAAAGGTGTTAGGAGAGATTTTCCACTTCGATCTTGTGTATCCCTAGCTTCCCAGTACACAATAGAGGTGGCCTAACCGAAAGGAGCCACCTTCTCTCTCTTTCTCTCTCTTCACTTTCCTCACTTTTTCTCGAAGGCTCATAGAGTCTTCAACCTAGAAACTCTCTTTCTTTCATCAAGCATTCATGGTCACCCCCTTCTTTATACCTCATATATGTGTTTTTCTGTTTGGATTCTCCCTCTATGATTAACTCATCTCATTCTTAAACTGTACGACTTTACTGATCTCAAAATCTATCTCTCTTGTTTTTTCTCTCTCTTCCCTGATTTTCTTATTGGTTGTTCAAAGAGAAAAAATGGGAAAGAAAGAACCATCTCTTTCTTTTACAACTTTCCGACGTTAACCAAATCGAAAAAAACCATTCTCTCGCCTTCTTTCTCTCTCTTCATTTCTCACTCTACATTAACCACTAATGGAAATAGACAGCTCCAAGTCTAACAAGATGACTAATTACTCAACTACCTTTATTAGCAACTCATTACCATTTCACGCTCATGTCGCAAGTCACCGCCACCCTTCAACTCTAACCACACAAGTGGCAAACTTGACGCGAAGTCGGGCCCAAAATTAACAATTTTGTATTTGATTTTAACAAATTTTAATAAAAAAATAAATAAACCCAGTGGACTTATCAAGTAAATGCATGGGTACAAGAAGATTGAATTCGATTCATGTGTTATATAACACAAAAAAAAAATTATTACAAACGATTCAGATAAAATCAAGTGTAGAATTAACAAATTTCACTATATTTCAATTTATACAAACAAAAAATATGACACGCCAGTATCTTCCCCTCCTCTCTCTCTCTCCCTCTCTCTCTCTCTCTCTATATATATATCTATGGTATAAAATATAAATTGAAATCTGACATAAGTTTTGATTTTTGTTTTGTTTTTTACCTTGTTTATACCAAGTGGGATTGCAGTAAATAAGGAGAAGACAGGGGGGTAGAAGTGGGATAAAAAAAATGGAATTATTGTGAGTCAGGGCCACGGCAGAGGGGCAGGAGAGGTTGGTCTGAAAAAAGGAGATGGGGAATAATGGTAAGAAAAGGAAAAACTTTCCAGAAAAGTCCAATCCAAGAGTACAGGAAGAGGGCCACCATTTGCCTCTTTTGTTCCTTCTAGCGACCAATGGGCCTTCTGTGACTTCTGACCTTGTACCTCGTATTTATTAACCTTTGGCTTTCTCATCAGCAATAAATCTCTCTCCATACAAATACACTTTTGCCCTCAAAATTTTAAGAACTACAACAGTATATCTTCATTCCCATTAATATTCCTTACTCATTTAATAATTTTTTTTTATTTTTTTGGGTAAGTCATTTAATAATTTGTTGGCATCGCTTCAATGGTTTTTTTTTCCCTCAACTGCTTCAATGATTTGTTAATGTGACATAATTTGGAAGTAAAATTTGGATAATTATTATTTTTTTCACTTCTCATTATATATTTTACTATCAAAATTTATTTCATTGGCGATCATTTTCATTCTCAACATTAAAACAAAGTCTTACATCTTACACTATCACCAATATTAACAGCAATAATACCACCGATGCTAACACCACCACTTCCGCCACCGTCACCGTCCTCACTGATCTCCTCTCCCTCATATCAAGACTATATTGATGCTGTTATTGGCAACATAGAATGTGGAGATCTTAGAGTTAAATCTCGTTGGTGTCAAGTCTAGGTCCCACAATCTTGTCTTGCAATTAAGGTTTATCGCCGTCAAAATTGCATCACTATCAATAATTTTTTAAGTGTGTATGTGTACATATGTATATACAAATAAAGCAAAAAAGTAGTGTAAATCTACAAACCTTAAAATCAATTTTTTTTTTAATTTTACTTGATTTCTATAAAATGTGAATACGTTTTTTGATACGTTATTGTCCATTGAGACTCAAAAATTTTCTTTTTTACTTGGTCCAATTGACCTTACAAGTAATGTTTATTGGACGTATGATCCCTTTTTCCTAATTTATTTATTTGCACAGATTATGTTAGCAAGAAGCACATGGGGTTAGCAAAATTAATAAAAAAGAATTAGAGGGAAAGTTATTTATGTATTGAAAAGTTAAGATAGTAAATTTGAATTCTTATATATTCCTCTCTTTTTGAGGGGTTTGTACTAACCTTTTTTTTATCCCTCTCCATGTAGGTTTTATTCTACTCCTGGTTGTAGTTTATTCATATTTCATTATTATAATAGTGATATATAAAACTCATAATTACAATTAATTAAATTTTTTGAATTAGATTCGATTGGAGTTCAAGTTAATCTGCTCGAATTGGACACCAAAAATTCAATTTTTTTTTAATGTTATTGGGACCTAATTTAGGGACTTAATCAATTATAATTGTTGGATTAAAAATAGACTCCACATAACATTGAGATTGACAATTAATCAAAAAACTACTATTGAATTAAAATTGGACTTCATCTAATATTAAAATTCATAACTTATTTAATTACTACAATGAATTAAGTATCTATAATATTATTCTTGTCACTGTTCCATCTAAACTTCATTATCTTGACATAACATATATTTATTTATATTACTAATAAAAGGCAATTAAGTGAAATTTTTTGATTGACTATTATGTCCCGATGACAAAGATTAAAGACACTTATATTCTTATGTATTTAATTATCCAATATCAATACTTATATTTATATTACTTCCTTATTAACCTTTAGTCTTTTCTACTATAATTGATTTAAGTACAACAAATTTTCTAAATACGTGTTAAGTTGCAATCACTATATCAGTTACCANCTATAATTGATTTGTAGTACAACAAATTTTCTAAATACGTGTTAAGTTGCAATCACTATATCAGTTACCAAGTGAAAGATCAAAAGTTAAATGCTGAATACATTTTTTATCAAGCTTTTCAATGCAGGTATTGATGCACTTTTCAAGTGCTCTTTAATGTCGATTATGAAATTGGAAGTACACATTTTTAAAATTTTAAAAGATTACTTAGAGCATCTTGATGACTATAGAATATTACACAACATACATCTCTATTGTACCAATTTTTCCTTGTTTTGTGGTGAAAATTTGGGGAAATGATTTCAAGTTTTCAATTAATGGAGATTTTTGTGATTGTAGGTAAAGAGCAGGTAAAGTCATGTATAAAGCATTCCATCAAGTGCTCAAAATCAATGGGGAAGAAGAGACCTCTTAGTTGATGGCTCAGGACCTAAAGGAACCAAAGAAATCCCAAGGCAGGACAAAATCTAATGGTAGAAGGCAACCAAGACCTACCGATAGAAGTCATTCAATACCTACCGGTAGAAGACTCAATACCTAATGGTAGAAAATGATACTGGAAATCTTCTACCTCTGCCATGCAAAAACCTACCAGTAGATTTTGCCTAAATCTAACGGACACCTCTTCACATGACTCCACCTACTCTGGGGGCCCACTTCTTATCCTCTAAACCATACCCTAACATGTTTGATACCCCATAATACTCTCTTAACCCCTAAAGTCAGATTTGAAGTAAAAGAGAGGGGGGAAGCAAGAGAGAGAAAATGGGTGGTTGTGACAGCATGGGAGGAGCATGCTTGGACTAAAATAACTTGTTCAAGTGAACAACCTCACTCCAATCATTCCAATTCAGTTCACACATGATAAGGGAGAGAGGATGGACAAAATTGAGGAGTCTTACACCATTATTCATATTTTTACATTCTTTTAGAGAGAGTCTCCAAGGTTGAAGATAAAGTTTTGGAGAGAGAAGTTGGATTTTTACATTTCCTTCAGAATTTTCATTGTAGTAAGCTTTATTTTACTTGTAATATTTTTCTCTTTCACTCTAAACTCTTTTATTCAAGTTGTAATCAAGCTTAGCTAAATGTTCTTGTATTTTCACTTCTACATTTGGGTATTTTCTCTTCAAACCTTGTATGTTGGGTATGAATGACTTTGCTCTTATAGTTTAAACATTTTCTTCCATCAATACAAGTTTCATGTTTCATTTCACTATCATATTTTTTTACATTATGTTTGTTCTTGCCTTTACTATGAGTAGCTAAACTTTTAGTTGGTTAATCCAAGGGGAATTTCCTATTGGGTATTTGAAATCGAATCTTTTTCATTCTTCCTTATAATGTAAAGTGTTTGATTTGACTAAGTTGAGTGTGGACGTGGTTGTGGGCTCTTGATACACTGTATACTTGTCACGGGGTATACTTTTGTCCAACACAACCATATTAGTCTCTCACATCCTACGAATCAATCAAACACTGAGACATCATTGGTTGAATGAATTGAGTCGATTTGACATTCCCATTGGAATGACCTCTATGGATTAGCTAACCTTGTTTTCTTACATTTTTATCAAAACACAACTCACCAAAACGCAATTCACAATATTTTCCAATTTTCATTTCTTTACAAATCACACTTCAAAAGTATTTGACATTTCTTTCCTTAAGGAGACGGACCTTGGAATACTTATTTCAAGTAAAACATGACATTGTAAGTCTCTCTACGTTTGGGGAGCACTTTTACGCACACACACACACACATTTTTATTCATCCACACAATTTTCTCTATTTCTTGCATTGAACATGAGAAAGAGTAGCATTCACCAACTTCTATAAGCCATATACACATAATCCGGGTTCAAGTGTTTGAAGATTAGGGAAAAATGATCAAGCATTTTTGGAGTCATTGCTGGGGAAGGCTAAGAGTCGAATTCGAAGGTGATTTGGGGATAATGGAGGTAAGTCCCTTGATTCTCATCACAGACCGAGGTATGTTGCTCCTTTGTACATATTTGTGTATACTTTTTTTTTCAATTGTAAGCAGTATTTTGCATGTGGAGACATGATAATCAAAGTAGACTAGTGAGATGTGCCCTAGGACCAAATATGAATATTGACCAAGACCCACCTGAGAATGTCGGAGATAATTTTGGGGATGATGGTGCAAATAATCCAAGGGGTAGGGGAGTGCCAAACTCCTTAATGCAATTTTCCCTCCGAGAAATGAAGAAAATAATCTCCCTATTGATCTTCTAGCGAGATCAATGAGAGATTATCTCCAATTTACTCGAAGCATCAACCCCTCATGTATACTTCTACCCATGCAAGTGCATGACTTCCTAGTTAAATTGGTCATGTTACAATTACTTTCTCAATTCCACAGAGTAGGACGAGAAAATCCTTACCTACACATTAAAGAATTCATGGAAGACATTACATGCATGAAATTATTTTCCTTCTCCCTCAAGGACAAAGCAAAAACTTGGTTGAACTCGTTGAAACCCCGCTCGATAATTTCAAAATTTTTTGAAAAAATCAAATAAGCAGTTCTATCAGTGTTGAGATAGATACAGGGACTTGTTACACTCATTCCACATCAGGATTAGAACCACGG